CAGCTTACACTAGCCAACCTTATAGATACTGCAGCTGCAGCACTTTCTGTAGAGCAGGGTGACAGTGGCAGTGGTATGGGAACAAAGTGATACAGTGGGGTCTCGACTTACGAACGACCCGACTTGCGAACAATTCGAGTTATGAACCTGCCCTATAGGGAAAGTAAGGACTCGACATGTGAACTTCCCTCGAGTTACGAACAGGGAAAAAAGTCCCCCCTCCCTCCCCTTAGAGGCTTCTGAAGGGGGGAAAAGGTTCAGAAACTTAAAAATAAATACTGTACTGTTAAATAAAGTCACTTACCAGGCCTTGGTAGCCCCCAAACCACAGGAAAAAGAGCAGGAAAGAGCTAAAAGCTGACACCCAGAAAGAGCCTGGCAGCCATTTTGTGGTTTTCCCCGCTCCTTTCGCCGCCTAACAGCTGATCGGCTGGCTCTGAGCAGGCTTCCGGAGGCTTGCTCAGCACCTAAAAAGCCTGCCTGAGTGCCTTTGTGCTGAAAAAATCAGCACAACATGCTTTAAAACATTATTTAAAATTGGCTTCGTTTTTTAAAAAAAGAGTTCTAAAGTGCTGCCTTTAGTGTTCCCTGCCTTCCCTGAACCTAAGGGGGAAAAAGAAAGAAAATATCCCCCTCTAGTGGCAGAAGGCAGAATAGCAGCTTCCCATTAGTTTCTATGGACAGAAAAGAGCAGATACGGATTAAATGGTTTTCAATGCATTCCTATGGGAAATGCAGATTCGACTTAAGAACTTTTCGACTTGAGAACCACCTTCCAATATGGATTAAGTTCTTAAATCGAGACCCCACTGTAAATATTTTAATAAGTAGAAATTTATTTTAAAATCTTAATTTAAACCTTGCAGCACATTCCAGGATAAATAAGAAACGAGATGAGGTTTTTTGGCTGAGCTGATGGAATGCCATAGAACAGGGTAGGCAACCTAGCCACCCTCCGGATACTTTGGACTACAGCCACAGTTACAGTGGGCAGTTGTAAGCTTTTATAGGAGCTGTTGTTCAGAACAGCTGGAAGATCCCAGATTGCCTGTCCTTCCATTAGAATGTCCACAAATATTATGTTCAGTGAGAAAATGAAAATGGGCAACACAGGATGATTGCAAAGAGCTTCCTTTCTGAAAGACTCCAGAGGTGAACATTTTTGTGGATTCTGCCACTTCAGGCTGCAAATCAAGTTACATGTATTGCTTTTTGCCTTCTGTGACCATGGAGAACCACTGTCAGTCAATCAGTGAGAGCACTGGTTCATATTACATAGTACTGACTGGCTCTTGATAGTGTCTTTATTTCCCTACTCAGAAATTAGTTCTATTGAAATCAGTCAAGCTACTCCTAGGTCAAGTGGGAATAGGATCATGGTCTCTGGCAACATCATGCATTTATATGTTCAGGCAACTGATTCTGATGTCATAGAGTTCAGCTCCTTTGATTCAGTGTGAAACAGCCATGTATGTGCTTATTTTCCTGTTTACGTAAATAGGGCTGAATGTGCTAACCTTCAGATGGGTCATGCATGCCCTTTAGAGCCTTGTGGTGCAGTGGTTAAACTGCTGAACTGCAGCCAAAACTGTACTCACAACCTGTGGTTCAATCCCAAGTAGCTGGCTCAAGGCTGACTCAGCCTTCTTCTATCCTTCTGAGGTCAGTAAAATGAGTAGCCAGCTCATGGGGGGGGGGATATGTAGTCTGCATAATTGACCTGTAAACTGCTCAGAGTGCTTGAAATGCTACAGGGCGGTATATAAGCAGCACACTTTGCTTTATATTTCATTTTGTGATGTAATCTTCAATTGCCATGGCAGATTATTCATCAGTGTGAAACGTAGGCTCTTTTGTTTTTAATCCTTGTTACTTTTAGAGAATTTATTTTGATACAGGGCTATTTAAACAAAAATCCATGCCATGCTAACTCATTTTGCACTGTATGAGGAGTCAAACTCTTAAGAAGCTGAGTTCTGTCTCCTATATGAAGAATGCAAATAAAATTCATCTCTTTGTGGTCCTTTTGTTTCTGCTGGTCCTGAAGTTTTCTGTACAGGTACTACTGACTCACCATAGTAAATCCAAACGACTTCTGTTTTTGGTGATTCCTGTGGTCAGTGCCTCAAGAGTTTATCTTCAAATGCATGAGGGTTAGAAACTTTTAAAAAAATCAAGAAAGAAGGGAAGTTAAACCTGAGATTTTCAATATTATGCAATAATTTATAGATTTTGTACACAAAACAGTGTCATTGAAGCTACCAGCATGATTTTGACCAAACTCCGTGAGGCAGTGAAAGACAGGAGGGCCTGGCGTGCTCTGGTCCATGGGGTCACGAAGAGTCGGACAAGACTGAATGATTAAACAACAACATACAAAACCTTAGAATACATTTAGCTTCAGATATTATTCCCATTATCTATGGGTTGTGCCGCCATTCTCGTTTTGTTTCCTTCTCCCTTAGTTGATATGGAATATTTAACAAATCAAGTTACCCCTCCCTTGGCTAATAACCTTGAGCAGATATTTTCCTATTCTGTGAAAATCTTTACATTTACAATGTTTACTACGTGTTACATAATTTGCCGTGTTTGAGCTCTTAGAATTAATTTCATTGCAGGAAATCCAGCAGGTGAAGACGCTCGAAGAATTAGAGGTGTTCATGCTTAAACATGGTGAAAATATAATTGACACACTAGGAGCAGAAGTGGACCGGCTTGAGAAAGAGCTAAAGGTACGTGTCAGTTGGTGAGAGAGGATAATTAGGAGCATCTGATTTTCAAAGCAACTGAATGGAAAATTTCTGTTTATAATAACTGGGCTTCCATTAGGGTAGGAAGCATATTTTAAGTGACTCAAATGTGAATGACAGTCTTGAGCACTGGTATTTGTCTTGTCTTTTGCCCCTCTTGGCAGATGGCTTTGGAGCATAATCTTCTGGGTTTCCCTATACAAGCCCTGTTATGACATAGAGTTGTTTGAGTGTTTTAAAAGCGGCAACTAAATACGTTTTCATTGCCACAAATTACTGAAAATCCTGTCCCTGAGGCTTTGAGAGCAGTCTGTCCCCACTGTCTGTCAGCCATGAAGTTCACTCGTTGATCTTGGTTCAGTTCCTATTAGCCTGACCTGCTTTGAAGGGTTGTTGTGACAACGAAGCAGGAGGAAGAGAGTCAGGTGCACTGTTGTGAGCTCCCTGTAGGAAAGGTGGGATATAAATGTGACAAATAAATAACGTCTGGAATCTTAGTGGCATTCACATGTTTGCTTAATTTGCCACAGCTAATTATATTCTAATTGATGAGGTGCTAAGCTGCACCATATTTGCACAGCTGGAGATATAACCATTCACAAAACCAAGATACACCTTAACACTTCATTAATTAGCTTCAGGACATTACACAAACCTCATGTGAACACCAGTAGAATTCTAGCTGGCCCATGTGACAGCTTCTCTGTGCACCTGTACTTTGGTTCTCCCATTTTGTCTTGATAAGAGCACATTGGTCACCTAGGCATTATCTTCCTCACTTGAGTTAGGTGCTTTGTAATTCTGTCTAAATTAGAAAAAAATCATTTCTACTTTGCATTGACCGAACAGTGTTCTCTTTTCTCCTCTTTTTGTTAAGACATGTTTGCTTTTTTTGGTGGTGTGATGTGCAAATAACCACCCTGTGACAACCCCAGACCTACTGAGAAATAACCACCCCAAACCGGAAGCAAAGAAATCCAAGAGCAAAAGCATTTCTCGGGGAAATTTGCAGCTCCCAGACATGGAAATTCAAAGGGTCTAATTAATAATTTCAGAGAACCTGGGCCAGGTGATTTCCTCTTGTACCACAATGAAGTCACCTGAGGGATATAAAAGCAAAGACTTGAGCTAGGATATGGAGAGTTAGAGTTGCTGCAGGCTTTAGTAATCTGGTATGCTTGAGCCATTTTTATTTTAGCTTGATTTATTGTTCAAAGACAATCCTAATAAAAGGAAGTGGGGTGAGGGCTTGTTACAGCCAGTAAGGAAGTTTTGAGCAGTGCTCTGAACCAGAATCCCCTCAATCCTGATCTAACACAGGATGCATAATACTGTAATTCGTTAACTACACGTTTATTAAAAGAACTGATCTTGTTTCAGAAACGCAATCCTGAGGTGCGACATGTAGATCTGGAAATACTGTAGACTTCATGGAAACATTGTTCCAAGTTTCCCCGCCGGATCCGCTATTTTGAGGAACAGAACAACTACTAGAACTGCAGGAATCCCAAGATGCTGCAGCAAATAAGCATTCTGATTTTAGTGCTGGTTTCTTTTTCCTCTGAAGGAAAATGGCTGTGAACTGTTCACCACGATAGCTGCCATCTCTTTGCATATGAATCTGTAGTAAAGATGACTATTTGGGACTAGAAACTTGAAATTAAGTTATTGAAGTGTCATTTTCTGAAAACTCACATTATATATTTGCTGCCGTGTTTCAAATTTTTGTATCTTGTTTGCACATTCAGTTCCTATGCAACTGCTGTTTTAAGGCATTTGCTAGAGATGCTGAAGATGTTTCCATGTTTCCTTAATGGCTGCATTCCTCCTTGAATCAAACAGATATAACCTTGCTCTGGCTTCTCTTGTATGAACCTGGCAAGATCCTTGCCCTTTCCCTCCTTATCATCAGCTGGAAATCTACGTTCCTTACAATGTTTAGCCATTGTTGACATGAGACCAATGTGGACTCTGTCCTCCATTGTCATAGACCCAGCAAGGTTACTACATAAGGTGTATTTAAATAAGAGAACTTGATATATGGCTCATTCCTTCTATTAGACTTATTCTTACTTTGGGCAAAATCTGCCACTTCTGGCCATGAGATTTGGGTAGATTGTGCAGTTTTGTTATCATGACGGTGATATGTTCCCAATTAGACAGTTTGTACTAACCTAATACATAGGGTCTTTTGATCCACTAATTGGTCTACTTACTGCTGAATTTGTAATGCCTGAAGCTAAAGTGTGATGACAGTTTGTTACACTGATGTAACACACTAAGTAGCCATTATTCTTTCAGTTGTCCTCTGTTCTATGCCATATATTAGTTGTTTATACATGCAAGAAGTGTGGAGTAGGACTTTAACAAGGTATAAAATACACTGAGACTGTTTATAATACTAGTAGAATGAAGATCCAGAATCAAAAGGGTTGTGCAACTAATTCCATATACTAATTAGGGCCTTGGAGTTGTGTTTTTCAAATAGCATAACGTGTTTGAAATAGATGGGGATTTCAAAAGCAGCACATTATAATTTAATGTGTCTGCTGTTTAAAGGAGAGAGCTTAATCTCACAAAAATAAAATTTCAAGTAACTGTTAGGATCCCAGCTAAGAATATTCAATTTTTTCAAAATAACTGAATAGTGTCTCTTGCTTGGAATAGTAAATGAATTTTTTCTAGATGAAATGCTTTGTCTAGGAATAAAACAGCCACATTGAACGTGTCAGTCGCTTTCAGTTCCCTTACAGCCACAAGTTCACACTTTGGGCCCTCACAATGAGAGTCTGGAAATCCAAATACTGAAACCTGTGTGGCAGCAAAGGAGAGGTTAAGGGGACTGTGACGTTTACCATTATTGGAGAATCAGTACACATCATGGAGTCTTGCAGCTGGTCCACACATGCATGTATATCTCTTGCTGCTCAGCACTTGAGGCTGCCGATGTCAACTGGCTCCACTGAAAAATAGTGTGCTTGAGGCAGTATAATGGAACACTGCCTGTGTGGTTGGATCTGTGATGGCTCACTCATTGATACGTGTTTCCCTTTGACTGTTGCTATGGTATAATATACATGCATGTGTGAGCCACCTGTTTGTAACCAAAACAAGTAGAATACATTTGCAAGTAAAATATTCTATGCACTTTAAAAAATACTGAAGTTCTTTGTCTGAAGGACTTTGAATCCCCAGGTTGCTAAGTGGTTCAAAGTGGGCCTGGTGGCATTCTGGAACACTGGCATGGAAACCTGTTATGAGAAGCAATATGTATTGGTGATAAAAAATTACGGCAAAGACCAAAATGTGTCAGCATTAGCTTAGTTTATAAATTTAAAATGTCATTTCTGGAAGTTGTATCATTTTGGGTTTGCACATGCATTGACAATTGCTTGCATTATTTTAGTGCAGGAATGTTGCAGATCTTTGGTTTTAGAAAAAAATGTTGTACATATTGTAATTAGCATGTAAAGCTTAGTGTGTGTGCTTTGTTACATATATTTAGAAGTAAAGAACCGACTCCTTTTATGTTTTCAGTTCTGATTTCTTCATGGCAATTTATTTATTACAGCTTTTTAAAATACTGAATTCTTTTGTAATGTTTTCTGGACCTGTTTTCCCCAAACTATTTTCTTTAACTCTTAGCATGCTGGTCATGATCTAATCCAGGAGTGGGGGAATTTTGGCCTTCTGTTGGATTTCAAAGCACTGATGTCTCAGCTTACATAGCCAGTGTAGAGATTTGTAATCTAAAACATCTGGTAGGCAAAAGATTCCCCTTCATGCCAGTCTGCAAAGGTTAAGTTGTTGGTTGTCAAACATTGAGAACAGCCTGTCCTTGATTGGCAAGCCTGAAAAGTGACATACAAAATTCTGGCTGTGATTGGCTATTGTTGGAATACCCTTCCTTGTACTAGCCATAAATTACCATAAACATCAGTATGTTGAATGCCTCCTGAAAGACAAACCTTCCTGTTCCACATTAGAGTGGTGGAATAAATTTTAATAGTAAGGAGGGGTACACTCCTTTCAAACATTTCCCTTGTCCTATTATCTTAAACCAGAAAGAAAAAGAGTTCCTTGTTCATGCTACTAACACTGTATCATTGGGTTGTCCTGTGCCTTCCTTAATGCTACTGTTGAGGAATACTACAGTCCATCTGGAACAGCAGTTGCATGCAGCAGTAACTAGAAACATTCTCCATTACGGAAGAGAGGTAATTTCGGGCTACTGTGGCCATATGGTATAGGAAATCTATAAAGAGTGTTATGAGACAGTTCTCCCATGATTCACCCTTCTACATGCATGGTTCTAATTCAGGGGTCTCAAAACATGCAGCCCGGGGGCCAATTGCAGCCCGCAGGATGATAGTTTGTGGCCCATTATTAGTATGAAAGTTTAAGGAGTGGGAGCAGCAGCAGTGGCACCTACTTGGTGAGTGTGGGGCTTCCTCCCCACCTTGTAGGGGCTGCCGCCTACCCCCCCGAAGTGCCCACACATCCAGAAGGGGGGCCATCTCCCTGCCTGGCAGTCTTCTCCCTCAGGGGTTTGGTGCCACCGGGGCTTCTGCTTTTAGGTCTCTCTGCCCCCCACTCTTTGCGGGTCACCTGGCACTGCTGCTGCTGTCACCTCATCCTCTCTGTGCTTCTCCTTCCCCCTGCCTGGCGCTCCTCTGCTTCCTGCCCAGATGTGCCACGGGAGGGAGTGCTGCCGAGAGAACAGCCTTCTCGCGCATGCTCTCCTTCCCCCCCTCCCTGAGCCACACTGGGCAAGACCCCGGCATCTTGCCAGAGTGGGAGTCAAGAAGCCCCATTAGTCCTTGGGTAGGGGGAGAGATTACTCTGCTCATGGGGCCAACCTTGCAGAAGGGGTGCATGCAGCTGCTAGGGTGTGTGTGTGTGTGAATCTGTGGGCATTTAGACCCTGGCGATTTACTGCCATCCTCTCCAGGGAATCTGGGTGCCTGCAGCATCCCTCCATTGTCCCCAACCTGCGTCTAAAGAGTGTGCGCTTATGTGGAGAACAGTAATATGTGGGCAAGAGCAGACCACAGGAGGAAATCATGCTCTCTCCTTGCTTGTTTGCTGCACTCATTTTACTTCTAGCTCAAAACATGCAGGTGGGAACCCTTACGAAAACAAGTTCCCTGCAAGAAGGAGGACTTGTGCTCTTCCCTCCCACCCACCCCCTTTCCTGTTTCTGCTCACGGCCAGGTGAGCAACTCACAAGCTGGGCCGTTGCCAAAGACAGCCGCCTTTTCCCTTCCGCCTTGCCTCTGTCCTTGGCTTTTGAATGCTCACCCAGATATAGTGTGTCTGAACAAGGAGGCTCTGTCCACTGACTGGCCATCCTTTATCCTCCCTCCTCCTCATGCTCCCAGCACCCTTCGGTGAGAACCCTGCCCTGCAGCAGGACAAACGGGGTCGACCCAAGGAAGCGGCTCCATCGCCTGCTCAGGATGACCCGCAGCCGCCAATGCAGGAGCTGCTTCCTTTGCCCCCCTTTGCTGTGGAAGAGGCGCCAGGGTGACCAGCCTCTCCAGTGGATCAGGCCAGCTTGCCAAGGGAAAGGGTGCCGAAAGCCATTCGCCACAGTCAGCAAATGTGGAAAATCTGATGCGGCCCAGCCTCACCCAGACTCTGCCTCCAGCGGCCCCCAAGTAAATTGAGTTTGAGATCCCTGTTAAATAAGATTTATCTTTGACTTAGGCAACAAGAAAAGAGAGCAAAAACCTTTCTTGAATAAAGATCTTCAGGCTACAATTGGTTGGTGCAAGCAATCCATCTGAAGGATTTTGAAAGAGCTATAAAACTAGGGTGGAGTTCGCACATACTGTACTGGGAGCCTTGGACTTGTAATTGTTTAAGATTAAATTCTGTTAGTGGGTTATAAGATATAATCTTTAATATTTGTGATGTCTTGAATGGTGTCAGTGCCCATCTCTTGATGCTGTTTTAGCTCTTTTGGTGATAAAGGCAGCTAAATACCAATGGGAACTGGGGTACTGATAGGAATGGAAAGTTTAAATTCATATGCTTTGCTAAACCATGTAATGTCTTGGTTTTCCAGGGATATCTTCTGAATACAATTAAGGGCAACAGTTCTACCATCTTTAAATGCAAACATTATACCTGTGTCTTATGATGTGATACTGTATCTTCCCTTTTTAAGATATAATATTTCAATATTCAGCATTCTTAGGAACACTTTTGCTATTTATTTTTTAATTTTTTCCTCATAAGTCATTATAGCTTTATACTCTTAATTTGTCACCAGTGATTATTACAAATTCAGAATATACTCAGAAAGTTCTTGCACTGTGTATGTCATATATATTCCAAAACTGCCAAAAGGAGCCTTTAATCAGCAGCAATTTGCTAATGATGATGTCATTCAGATTGGCCACGTGGGGGGTGAGTCTACTGATAATGAGTTTACTCAATTCTGTATTTGTTCACTTGTGATGAGCATTGTGGCATCATTCCAACAGTGTTATAAGCTGCATTGCTGCTGTTTCCCAGAACTCCTTCTGCCCTAAGACAGGATTCTACCTCTTAACTTTGAAGGCTCAGTGAGAACACCGGTGGTTCAGGAAGTGAGCACAAGTCTCTTTTCCATAATGGGGATCAGGAGAGATAAACGTGTTCTAATCAGAGCTGAGAAATGTTTGTGTTAGTATGAACACATTATCTTGAAATTGTCAGAACAAATTCATTGATGAATATTAAAAATAAGAAAATATTGTAATATATTTAATCTAAAATTGCCATAATTTTAAAAATTATTAAAAGTAGCTAGTAGTAAAATAATGAGAAACTGTAATACCTAGTAAGATGTAACGTTTTTAGCATTTAACAAATAAAATAACATGTTTCAGCACTGTTGAAATACTTAAATGAATTGTGTGTAATGATTTTTAAATAATTTATTTCCACAATTTGGCTGTAGTCATGTGCTGGATGTTCATTGAGTTAGATTTCTGATAGTAGACAGATGGACTACCTCCTCTGAGTAATTTCAGGTGAATAACTTTGTATAGTTAGGTAATACTCGGTATATACACCATAAGCACCAAACACAAACTAGGCAGAGGCTAAATTTTATTGTGCATTGTTATGCAACGGAACAAATGACTCCGGAAGCAAGTCATAATAAAACCCAAGTATTAAATAAGAGTTAACACCTGAAATAGTAAACTCTAGTAACAAAGGTCTCTTTATAATCAAAAAATATCACCATCTTTAAAAACTTGTTGAAACGTTTTATGTTTGCTTCCTCAAAAGAAAGATGTTGACTGATGTCACATAGAAAACAACTCACATATTCTATAGAAATTCTCACCAAAACTTACTATCCTATATTACAGTGTTCACTTTGTACAGAATTAGGTATTTGTCTACCCTAACCTTTTGTTTACACTACACAGGACAAACTGTTAATAGATTTAGGTTACACTATAACATTAAAAATATTGGCCAGAATCCTACTGGTGTCTGTGTAAGGTTTATGTAACTAGTGCCTTATGTTGGCGAATTAATACTGTCCATTGCATTATCAAGATGTGCACTGGCACCCTAATTAAGTAGCCACAGCCAGTTATACAAACTTTACCTGAACATCAGTAGGATTCTGGCCACTGGGAGGAGTGAATTCTTGGTCACAATATCTCCACAAACATTTTATCAAAGAAAATAGAGCAGAAGGCATGTTGGCGGTGGTGAATGTGCAGTAGTGATACACTTGGAAAAACAGCTACATAAATGAGAGAAAAATCCTGTGCTCGCGGCATATATTCCTCAAAAGAGCCCTGGAATCAGTACAACTTCATTTAATGCTTTATAGCAGACCTCTTGCAGTGTAAAAGATGTCCAATCAAATGCTCAGGGAGTATTGGTGTGTGTGGTTTGAGTAGAAGTAACATGGGTCAAATACCATTTCATGAAATAATTCTTGAGGTTCCAGTGAAGCAGCCTAAAGTATGTGACACCAAAAAAGGGAAGGCAAAGCCTTGCCTGATTGAGGTAAATCTGCCATTTGTAACATTCAGATGCACAAAAACAGTGCATCATCCTAATATGCTCAGTCACTGTAGTGTATTTTGCCCTGATCAGCTGGCTGTTGTAAAAATGTAGATCATACAAAATAGCAGATGGGTGGTAAAACTGGCTCAGGATTATACCATTTGGACTTTGGGTGTGAAACTATGTGCTTTCCTTGCTTACCTCTCATCGTTGACATTGCTTTGTATGTAGCACTAAATTGATACCAGAGATACAGTAAGAGTACGTGTAGCTTTCTTCCCATACATCAGCCCTATTCAGGCATTCAAAGAAAGAACTGATTTGAAAGCATGAACAGGGAGCCACTTTCCCCCTGGCTGGTGCTGTTGTCACATCAAGCAAAAGAGCAGTCTGGTGTGTGTGTGTCACCTCTTCATACGATTAGGAACCCCAATTCTTAAGGATTCTTAAGTCTGTGGGGAGACTTGTAGCATAAAAACTCCATGCCCTGCTCATGCTTTCAATTCTATGTTGA